TACCCAGAATTTGCTTTGCTGGTCCCAAGTCCTTCATGTCAAAGGACTTTGATAACTCCTCTTTTAACCTGTAAATTTTCTCAACATCTTGTCCCAAAATCAGCATATCATCAACATATAACAAAAGGATAATGAAGTTGCCATCAGGGAATGATCTGATGTAGACACATGGATCTACATTTGTTCTTTGGTAACCATGACTCATCATAAAAGAATCAAACTTCTTGTACCATTGTCTTGGAGCTTGCTCTAGTCCATACAAGCTCTTCTTCAACTTGCAAACCATATGCTCCTTCCCTTTTTCTTCAAAACCTTCTGGCTGATCCATATAAATTTCCTCATGCAAGTCACCATGGAGAAATGCAGTTTTCACATCTAACTGCTCAAGCTCAAGATTCATGCTTGCTGCTAGACCGAGCACAACTCGAATTGAGCTCATCTTCACCACTGGGGAAAATATTTCATCAAAATCAATCCCTTTTTTCTGACTGAAGCCCTTTACCACCAGCCAAGCCTTATATCTAACTATCTTATCACCATCTTTCTTGAGCTTGAACACCCATTTGTTCTTCAGGGTTTTTCTTCCTTTGGGAAGTTCCACAAGCTCATAAGTATTGTTTTTATGTAGGGAGTTCATTTCTTCCTACATAGCCTTCATCTAGCAATTTTTATCTTTGTGAGACTGCACCTCCTGGAAGTTCTCCTGCTCCCTCTCTTCAATTTTTTTTTGGTTCCCCATCCGATATCCGGGGCTTCGCCCCGACTACTCCGGACTCGACCAGCTGTGGCGCACCAGAATGGTGGGTGGGTCTCCCAATGAAGACTACTATGTACACAAGGTCTCGAAACTGGAGTATCTTGTAGATGGTTTGTGCTCTCTGGTGGACCTTCTCAACTGAGGTTCTTCCTCTTGTGGCAGGGGTTGCTCCCCTTGCTCATCATTTCCCCCATCTACACTTGCTTCATCTTCTTCAATTGTTGGCTCCTCTGTCTCATCTTCTGGTACTTGCACCTCTTCTTCATTTGTAATTTTTCTTGAAGGAGTTTTTGCTGGTGTTAAATCTTCTACACCCTCTCCAGAGCTTCCTGTAGCTTTGTCCTCCTTCAAATCATTAATTTTCTCGTGTTCATGAAACACGACATCTCTACTTCTGACAGTTTTCTTCTTTTCTGGGTCCCATAGTCTGTAGCCAAACTCCTCATCACCATATCCAACAAAAATGCATGGAATAGTTTTATCATCTAGCTTTGATCTATGTTCCTTTGGCACGTGCATAAATACTTTGCACCTGAACACTCTCAAGTGAGAGTATCCAACATCCTTTCTGATCCAAGCTTTCTCTGGGATTTCAAAATTCAAAGGAACTGAAGGTGACCGGTTGATCAAATAAACTACTGTGTTGACTGCTTCACCCCAGAATGGCTTAGGTAGAGTTGCCATTCTTAGCATGCATTGAAGTTTCTCCACAATGGTATGGTTCATCCGTTCTGCAACACTGTTGTGTTGTGGAGTGCCAGGAACTGTCTTCTCATGCCTCATGCCATGCTTGGAACAGTAGCCTTTAAATTCTTTGGAGGTGTACTCCCCTCCATTATCTATACGGAGACATTTCAACTTCAACCCTGTCTCCCTTTCCACCATAGCATGGTAATGCTGGAAATATTTCAAAACTTGGCTTTTATTCTGCAACAAGTATACCCAAGTCTTCCGAGTTGCATCATCAATAAAGGTAACAAAATATTTATTGCCACCAAACAACTCTACCTCCAGGGGACCACAAACGTCAGAGTAGACCAAGTTTAGCTTGTTCTCCTTCCGAGTCAAATTCTTCTTAAAAGAAACTCGGTGTTGCTTTCCAAATAGGCAAACATCACAAGGATTCACATGTCCACCTTTGGCAATGGGAACAAGGGACTGCTTAGCCAAAAGTTGCAATCCTTTCTCACTCATGTGAGCTAATCTTTTATGCCATAAATTTGGAGAAGCCTCATCTTCAACTGTGTTCAGTTGACCTCCACACATTTTCATGTGTGTCTTGTATAATGAGCAACATGCTCTTCCTTTTGCCACCACCATGGATCCTTTGGTGAGTTTCTAGTTGCCATTCCCGAAGTAGTGTGCGTATCCTTCTTCATCCAATGCTTTTGCAGACAATAGGTTCACACGCATATCAGGAACATGTCGCACATTTTTTAGTGTCAATGTGCACCCAACATTTGTCTGCACACAGATATCACCAACTCCCATAATATGAGAAACACTCTTGTTTCCCATTTTTATGGTGCCAAAGTCTCCTGCTTTGTATGTTGAAAAATATTCCCTTTTGGGAACACAATGATAAGAGGCATTAAAATCAATTATCCACTCAGCATCTGAGTTTTCTATATGGCAGCACTCCCCACGATCAGATAGTAGAGTCATGTCACCGCCACTGGTAGATGCTACAGCGGTTGTATTGCTATCTTCAACCTTTTTCTTGTCTTTTCCTTTCAACAAGTAGCAATTCCTTTTGATGTGATCTAGCTGGCCACAATGATAGCATTTCACTCCACTTTTGGACTTTGATCTGGATTTGCCTCCTCATCCTCTGGGTTCTCTGGTTTTACTCCTGCCTCTATTCTCCATGACAAGAGCTTGAGTATCTGGTTGTGAGAAGACTCCCAGTGCCTGCATCCTTTTTTCCTCTTCAAAGATCCTATTTTTGGCAATTTCCAATGTGACTTGACCACCAGGAGATGAGTTGATTGTTGTTGATCTAAAACTCTCCCATGATTCTGGCAAGGTATTGAGAAGAATCAGACCATTCACTTCATCATCAAAGTCTATGCCCAAATTGGCTAACTCCTTGATGATGCCAAGGAAATCATTAACATGGTCTGCCGTGGGAGTGCCATCTTTGTACCTTGAGTACATTAATTTCTTTATATGGCACAATTTATTTTGCCCAATCTTCGCCTGGAAAAGCTTATCTAACTTTGTCCATAGTGTGCGTGCATCAGT